CCCTGCCTCTCCTGAAGCCGCGCCCGGGGGTTGGGTCGCTGCAGGAGATCGCGCAGGCCGTGTCCCAGATGGTGTCCGAGGACGTGGACAAGGACGTGCTCATCCCCCACCCGCCCAGGTCCGCCGAGTCCACCAACGCCTTCCACTCCTTCCTGGCCCGGAGCGCGTCCTTCTGGCCCAGCGCGGCCTCGCGGCAGCGCGCCAACGAGGCGGGGGCCTCCAGCTCGCCCCCCTCCTAAGAGTCTCACGCAGCGCACTGTCTGTCCTCGGCGCCTTTTTGGGAGGTCGGCGGGCCGGGCGGGCCGGGGCGGGAGCCCGACCGACACGGAGCCACCTAGGCAAGGCCCCAGGCCGCTCCCCACGCCACCCGCATCGGACTCGACTCTACGGCCCCCCGGGAGGGCCTGTGGGGGCCGGACGCCAGCCGTGCGGTGGGAGGGAGCGGCCCAACTGCCCGTGGACAAGGCCGCCCCGGGCTGGGCCATCAGGGGGTCCCAGGGCCAAGAGGCAGCGCCCCGTGAGTCTGGGGTTGGGGTCAGTGGCCACCATGCAGCCTCCTCTGCCTCTAGTTGTGGTCTCTGAGCACCCAGTGCCTGGTGAGGGGAGGACTGGGCGGAGTCTGGGCGTCTGATTTCTCCCCAAACCAGAAGCTATGTTGTGGACCCCCAGGCCCTTGAGGGGATGGCCGGAGCCAAGCCTCCTGCAGCCACCCTCCAGACACCCCCACCCCCACCCCAGCATCAATACCTGGAGCCTGTACTCAGTGACCAGTGACTCCTGCTGACCCCCTCACTGTGCAGCCCAGTCAATCCCCTACCCCCACCAAGGGGCTGCCCAAGGTCACACTGCAAAGCCCCTTTTTCCCTGGGATCCATGAGGAACGTTCCCAAGGGGCGGGTGGAAAGGGGTCCTGGTGGCACCGTGGTGGTTAAGTGCCGACTGTCAACCGGAAGGCCAGCAGTCTGAAACCACCTGTCGCCCATCAGCAAACAGAAGCCCCCTAGGGCTTCTGGGGGGTGCAGCCCTGGAGGGAGAGACAGTCACACACATACGTGCAAAGTCATTCATCCAGGCCTATGTGTCGGTATCCACTCCTGGGCTGTATTTGGTCAGGATGGGTCGGGCGCAGACCCAAGTCCTGTCCTGAAGCCCCATGAAGAATGGGAGCAGCCTGAAGGGATAAGATCTGGGGACTCCTGCTGAGGATAGCCCTGGTCCCAAGCCACAGAAGCTGCCAGGCCGCCATAGGGCTGAGGCCCAGGCCTGGTGCTGTGGAGCCAGGGCCTGCCTGCCTTCAGGGGAGGAGAGCATAGCCCCCACCAGCGGGAGTGGCACCGAGTGTGGCCACTGGTCCTCTTTACTAGGTGTCGGAGCTGGGGCCCAAACATTGCACACACGCAGTGGTTGAAACACCACCAAAAAAAAAACCACCACCAATGCATGCATTATGTTGTATAGACTTGGGACTGGGTCCCACTGGGCTAAGTCCAGGCTTACCAGGGCTGGTTCCTTCCAGGAGCTAAGGAACGGTCCCTTTCCAGCCTCGGACCCTCACTCCTTGTCCTTCAAAGCCAGCAGCATAGCATCACTCTGGCCCCTTGCCCCACATCAGGTCTCTGAGGGGATTTTGACCCAGGCCCAATCAGGAGGCTGGCTGATGAGCAAGCATAGTTCCACGTGTTACCCCATGCACTGGCCCCAGGGACCAGGATGTGGATATATTTAGAGGCTACCATTCTGCCTTCCCCAGGGTCTACTGACATCAAACGGGTGGGTGGAGGCAGCTGCCTCCCCCTGGTATCACCAGTCCCCCACATCCAAATGCCATCCAGGAGCCCACTGTGGGAGTGAGGCTGCTCATTACCATGACAGTAGATGGGGTGGTGGTGACTGCAGCCCTGAGGTCCAATCAGGAGGCAGGTGGCTGGCAGAGATCAGCTGGCTAGCAGAAGGCCACTTGGGACACAGGAGGAACCTGGGGTGGGCCATGGGGGTCTCCACACTGTCCCTTCAGTTCTGCTGGGGGGTTGGTGGTGGGTCAGGTCTTCATGAGGAGTGGCGGCCCAGGACTTGCTCCTGGGCCACCCCAGTGACACTCCTGAGGATGCAAAGGGCAGCCAGTGTGGTGTCAGTGTCTCTGGAGCAGGCTCTGTCCTTGGGAGTGGTCTCAGGAACCCCTGCCCTGACTGGGCCCCAACTCCACCACCCAGTGCACGGGCAGTGGCCATGCTGTATGTCTGCAGCAGAAGGAGCTTCTCTTGGGCATCTGGGTTCTGCACCACCTGGGACAACGTGTACTGGTTGCCTGCAGGGCACCTGGAAAAAAGTGATCACATCTTCACGCTTAAAACATGCACCTTGCTACTCTGGAAACACCTGCCCCCTTCCAAAACCATACAGCAAAATTAAATGGATGGAGGGATAGATAAATAAATAATATGACCCCTGAAAAGTCCCCCCAAATCTGATGCCCTGAAACAATCACTGCTAACACCAGGGAAGGCTGCTCAGCTGTTTCTGGATGCACATATTAGAGATGGAAGCATATATCAAAGCTAACTATACATCACTAAATTTCAAGACATTCCATTTTAAGAGAATAATTTAGCTGGCATTAGATGAATGCTTCATCCCAAGTTCAAAAGATTTTCTAAAGATATTTTTAGGACATATGACAAGCATCATCCTGACTTCTGAAGAGCCTTGGTAATGCAACAGCTAAGTGCCTGGCTGCTAGCCAAACACAGGTTGGCAGTTCTAACCCTCCCAGCAGCCCCGTTGGAGAAGGACCCGGCACCTGCTGTGTGCTGTCCAATGACTCCATCCTTAACCCGCAGCGGCCCAGGTGATGGAGGAGAACTGTCCCATGGCTGTAAGAGTGCATCTTACTGAGTCCATCCTCTTGAGGAGCCCCTGGTAGGTCTGAACCATAGACCTTTTAGTACCAGGGCCTTAGCCTTTAAGCCACCAGCACCCCTTCCTAGAACACCAAGGGCCAGTTCCACTGTGTTCCCTGGAACAGCTGTGAGTTGCCAAACCAGCTCAGCAGCCAGCAATCACAACCGCCACTGACTTCTGGCTGCGACGGTGAAGAGCTGGCCCTGAAATTTCCCATCCCTCATAGTTCCTTAAATTGATGTGTCAGGACCTACAATACAGGTAAACTCATGATCTAATCTGTGGAACAGGGAATTGGGTGACTTGGACACTGGGTGAACACTGTAGGGGACTCTTCCTCCAGTACTCCTTGTGGCTGCTGTGCCTGCTGGAGGAGGCCGCAGGGACAGAAGGTGGCAGGCAGCAGTGCTGGCTGAGAGGGCAGTGGAGGGAGAGGAAGGGGAAGAAGTGACCAGAGGAGGAATGGAGTACACCCTGCCTGCTCACTGGCCTGCCCACTTGAAGCAGCTGGCACAGCCTGGATCCCCCGGGCCCCTCAGCCACCTGTCTACTCACTGAACAAAGACTGAGAGCCCATACCCAGGGCCATGCCCTCTTCCTCGTCTACCTGTGTCCCACCCAAGGTTAAGGGCTGCAAAAGTCTTATTGGATAAATTGAGACAATTTAATGAAAAGGGAGGTATAACTCCCTGACAGTCCCCAGGAGCTTGGGGGAGACTCACAGGAAGAGGGCTTGCTTTAGCTCTACAGGGAGGAAGTTCTTCCACTCTGTCCTCCCCTAGACCGTCTCTCTTCAGTGTCAGAATCCCTGTGGACCACAGCTTCCCAAGATGTTGGCCAGGACTCCCAGCAGACCTCATTGTGATTCAAGTTGATACTTCAAACCCTTACCTAAAATCCCCCACTAGATTAAACGAGATCCCAAAGAAGGACTTCAACAAGCCAGGACTTTATTGCTAAAGGTTTAATTATTTCCTACACTAGCTTGTGACACTCCCGCATTCCCTGTTAAGAAGCTGAATAGACGTGGCTGGAAATTTGTACAGGATCTGCATGCTGTGAACTGCACTGTAATTCCTAAATCACTTGTAGTTCCTAATTCACATTTACTCCTTTCTAATAGACCCCTGAAATCTCTCCCTTCACAGAGGTTGATCTTTGCAGCATGTTTGTTCGGTATCACTGTACAGCCCACTGTTCAATACCTGTTCCTTGTTAGCCTTTAGTTGGCAGGGAGAAGAGACGAGCGGTACACTTGGACTGTGATACCTCAAGATTTCACTGCTCATATTTCTCGTGCAGACCTGCAATCTCTATGATTTTCCAGTGAATGCACGTTATTGCAATATATTGAGTTAGTAGCTCGCTTTAAATGTCAACCCTCTTGTCTCAAATACAGCATTTCTTTTGTTAGAACATTTGGCTGAGGATGACAAAAAGTCTTGCAAGGGAAATTGAAACTGGCCAGCCATTCAGTTGAATATTTAAGTCATACAATCTCAACAAAAGGAGTCACTATTCCACCAAAATAGTAATAACGAACTCTCCTAGTTTTCCTTGTCTGCAGCTAATAAACCGCTAAGGGCAACTTTGAAACTATGTGGCTAGTGCAGAACTTGGATATCAACATTTTCTCTGCTGGCCTGACCACTGTATCAGCACCTAAAGGCTTCAGAGCCTGACCTCTTTCAGTTTTCAGAGGGTGGTCAAAGGGTCATTAACTAAGACCCCTGATTAAAATTCATGAGACATGTGGGAATATATTAGAAGTCTTCACTCAGAAACACAGAAGACAGCAAAGCCCAGTATTGGCTACTGTAGTCTCCAACTAGATTCCGTCACCAGGGGTTAACGTTCTTGCCAGAGGGCCTTTGCAGCCACAACCAAACGAGTGGCAGCAACTTCAGGAAACTTCCTGGATGTTTATCCTCCTCGTGCAGTGCCTGCCAATTGAAGCTCCACTTTAACACAGCATGTTGGCTAACAGGCTGACTTCTTAAGAATCTTCCTCCTGCCCATCGCTCACATTCAGCTACATGTGGTTGCCTGCTTAAACCCAGCCACACACTTACCTACCCCAGGTGACAGCATTCACTCCACACAGAGTTGCTTAGATGCAACTTTCTGTTGAAAAGGATTTGAAGGAGACTTCTCTTTGTAACCCTGATTCGATTTTCTTCCTGGGTGGATCATATTTAACACCTGATGCCAAAGCTCTCACTACAGAGACACTGTGCAGTCACCACCTCTCCTGGAATTCTTGAAGATGATGCCATTCCTGGAGTCACCCTAACTCAGCAGACTGAACAGACGGCACTCAAGCTCTTGCAAACTTACTTCT